TATCACTTTACAGCCGTTGCATCACTGCTGTCTTTGATGTTGGAAGAGGAAGAGCAACAGTAGGATAGAAACTGTGATGCGCGAGATTAAATCTGGGTTCGTTCAAATTAGCGGCTTCGCAAACCGGTGTTCCAGTGCTTTATGGTGTATATAGTTTATAGCGCTTCATAACAAATGGGATTTTAAATTAATAAAATGCGACCATGACCTTTAGCGTGCACTGAGATGGTGAGAATCCACACCTCCAAGTCTAAGGCCTTGTTTCTCTGCTGGAAACCAATGCAGTGCTCCCTCTGGTTTGGGAGAGAGTTGCTTCCTCAAGCAAAGGACTTTAAATATCTTGGGATCTTGGTGACCAATGAAGGGAAAATGGAGCATGAGGTGGACAGATGGATGCAGCATCAACAGTTATGCAAGCGTTATACTGGCCCATCATGGTGAGCTGGAAGGAAAAGCTCTTGATCTACCTTCCAATCCTCAACTATGGTCATGAGCTCTGGGTAATGACCAGAAGAACAAGATTACACCTGAAATGAGTTACCTCTTTAAGGTGATTGGATAAAGCCTCAGGCATAGGGTTACTAGCTTGGACAACCATGTCAAAAGAAGTCACCGGATCTGATTAGGATGCCTCATGGGCCTGTTCCCTTGGAGGTTTTCTGGGCATGTGAGACTGGAAGGACCCCCAATAATCGCTGGAGGAAATATCTGTCTCATCTGGACTGGAAACATCATGGGATCCCCCAGGAGGAACTGGAAAACATTGCTGGGAAAATGGATGTCTGGGATGTCTTGCTACCACCACAACCCGACCCTGGATAAGCGGTAGAAAATGTATGGATGACTGTGAAAATGTGCAATTATTTCCATCAATCTATTTTCAATACAGCTTAAGAGTGAAAAAAAAATTAGTCCAAGTTTTTGTGAATTTATCAAAAGTCAAAATGGGATATTTTTCATTTATAAAAGTATTCAGACCCCTAAATCCGTACTTTGTAGAAGCCCCTCTGGCAGCAGTTACAGCTTTGAGTCTTTCTAGCTCCTTCAGATTGGATGGGAAGCAGCTGTCAAGTTCCATCTCCAGGTTTGTCCACAAAGGTATTAAGAGGTTAAATTTGTGGCTTTGGCTGCCGCACTCAAGAACAAGGACTGAAGTCTTGAGGCTACTTTAGCTTTGTCTTGGCTTTATGCTTTGCCTTACTTTTGTATTTGCCTCCTTGTCCCTAGTCTCCCTTCATAACATGATGATGCCACCACCGTGCTTCACTATAGCAATGGTATAGCCAGATGATGAGCAGTGCCTGGTGTTTATCAGATAAATTCGCTACTTCGGGTTCCCCCAAAAGAGACAAAATTTTGTCTCATCAGACAAGAGAAACCTTTTCCTTGGACTCTCCTAGTCCTGTAAAAGCAGTATGTGCTGTCTTGTATCTTTGACTCATGGTGAGTTTTGTCTAGTTGCCTGACTAATACAGTGCTGGTGAGATGGTCGTACTGGCAGGTTCTCCATCTTTGCAGAAACTTCTGAACTCTGTTAGTGACTCTTTGACCCCTAGCTACCTCATTGAAAAGTCCTGGTGGTTCCAAACTTCTTTTATTTCAAAATTGATCTATGCCTCTCCACAGAGTTGTGATGTAGGTTCTTTAGATGTTATGGCTTGATTTTAGTAAGTTGTGGAACCTTAGCCCACAGGTGGTAGAGCAGGTTGTCCTCCAATCGCAAGGTTGGCAGTTCGATCCCTCACCTCTCCACAGTCAAAGTGTCCTTGGGCAAGACACTGAACCTGAAGTTGCTCCTAATGGCAGGCAGCACCTTGCATGGCAGCTCTGTCGCCATTGGTGTATGAATGTGTGTGTGAATGGGTGAATGAGAAACACATTGTAAAGCGCTTTGGATAAAAGCACTATATAAGTGATCATTTACTATGTACATGGGTGTCACCTTTTCTAATCAGTTCAGTTTTCCACAGGTGGGTTTCTATCAGGTTCTACAGACAGTTCAGGGGTTTATTAAAGCAAACAAGATACACCTGAATGCAATTTAGGGTGCCGCAGGAATAAGTCTGAATACTTTGCAGTGCATCGTAATTTATGCACGAATGTCAGAATAAACTTTTATGGTAATTAATCCGATGATTGTCAAGACATTTTGCTCAAAACCCCAACTGTCACCTGTGTGGTGGTGCTGGAGGAAGTGTTAGTGTATCACCAAAGACATTAGGGTTCATCCTACAGGGGGACCACCATTAAATCCATTTGTCCAGTAGTTATTGAAATGTGTCTCTCTGGGCCAAACAGGTTGCACCAACAGATCATCATTGCCATTCCTAGAGTCTGCAGCCAGTCAGCTCAGGAAACGTTTAGTCTCACTTTTCCTCAACTCAACAAACCATCATGGAGAACCACCGGAGTGCATTACTTATTACTGGTCCTTTTTTTTTTTTTCAGAAGAAGTAAATAGTTTATTTCCTCAGAGCGACGCTCATAACACTCGTTAGCGGTGTTAATGATGATGAACTAGCTCCAATAAGCTGACTAATATCAGGGGATGTTACTGTGAAAACACCCATTTATTTCCTTCAGTGGTCTTAATGCTGTGCGGCCGGACTGGTCTTGTTCATGTAGATGAATCACATTATTCATGGCTCACCCTCAGCTGAGCATGTTATTCTCATTAGCCGGAATATTTTTTTCATCAGCCTGATGATTATTCTGCTGAGAGATTAGTTGTGAGCAATGAGCAAACGCAACACAACGCTTCTTAAACTTTTCCACTCGAGGGGGTCACACGAGCAATTAAACTGCATTTGTCATGGAAGGATGCGGTAGCGTGCTAGCCTCCAGACAATTCTGGTTTCACGCTCGTTGAGAAGCTACAAACATAAAATGCGATGTTTAACCTCGTGTGACTCGACTGTTTGGTTTCGTTTTTTCAAATGCCAGTGGATCCCTTGTTGTGTTTCCACTGTTGCTTTCCGACATAAATTCTCAGATCTGCAATCAAATCAATGAGTCAAATGAATCAAACCACCTCGAGGTTTCTGTGCATTTTTTTTGCAATTAAACAGCGCCGTATTGTACTTTATATTAACTGTCAGCGGCTGCTCTCTGCTGTCTAATGTTCCCACCTGGTAGATTCTGCTGCACATTTGCATAATATCCTCTGCACAGCTGAGAACACCATATGGAAAGGGTCACGTAGTTAACTCCAGTGACTAATTTTTATAAAGTCTCACGACTGCAGGATTTTGTTTGCTTAATGTAAGACATTATCACCAAACGGCAAAAGTTTGACGTGTAAAAAAAAAAGGCCCCAAAGGTGACATCGTATTTTCTTGTTCCCTCCCAGTAATGCACATTTTACACTTAGCAGGTATTTTAGGATGATTAGAGGAAGTTTCATTTCTCCATCGACTTGTTTTTTTAGCCGTACATGTGTCACTGAGGCTGTAAAGATCTAAGCTACACCCAGTGAATAAAACTTAGAGACTCAAACTCGCTTTAAAAATCCTTTCCACACACAAACATACCAGTGTTCCCAATTACACCCTGTTTATTCCAATTATAAGAAGAATTTACCATCTTAGAGGTAAATAAACAGTCCAGCTCTGAGATTTAAGCAGGCACGGAAGAGATCTGAGCTGCTGAAGAGGGGCAAACCACATATCATGTAGTTTTTTTTTTGTTTTTTTTTTTAATCACATATTGGTCCTAATAAAGCACATGTTGTACTTTATGAGAAGGTTAACTATTTGCCATTTCTTAATTTCAATTACAGCTGGAATTTTGCCCCTCAGAGAGCATTTCTGCAGCAATAAATAAATAAATACAGTTTTTTATTATAAATAGCCGGCCTAAACAGATGAGATATTGGTTTAGAGTGGTTTTGTCAGTGTGTCTGTGCCAACAGCAACAGTCTGAGGTCAGACAGACTGAGTAGATGTCAGAGGAGTGAGGAGGAAGGATGCTCAGAGCTAACATAGACAACAGCTTCATTTTCCAGATAAGTATTAAAGTTGATGTAGTGACCCAGCAGTACCGAAAAAACTCTGTGAAAGTGGAAAATAACATTTATACATCACACTTAAGGAGATTTTTGTAGTTAAAGTCGAGTTTTTTGGACAAAAAAAATATATTGATGCTAATTATTGACATGTCTCAAAGTGTGAAAATCAAAAAATCTATTTTTGTAGACATTTGTTATGTGAAACTGACAATAAAAAATAATAGAATAAAAAAATAAATAAAAATGATAAATTCCCTTGGCAGCTACTTTAAGGAAAATTATTTATTTTTTTGTGTTAAAATCCTGAAAATTAAATCATATTTTGTCGTTTTATCTGGACTATAGTGGTTAAGAAAATCACTTAATGAAAGTGAAAAAATTATATTAATATATAATATTTTTATGAAAGTTGTTGGCATTTGTGTCCTTAAATGCCTGGGTGTGAGTTTAATTTTTAAACTGCACTAAAATAATAATGAAACTGGTTGTTTTTGCTACTTATTGACATATCCCAGACTGTAATAAATAAATAAATAAAATTCTTCTTGGTATTTATTATATGGAAAATAATTCTTTATTTATTTTTCTTATTTAAAAACAGCAGGCATATTATGTAAAAATAAATAAATAAAAAATTGTATTGGAAGGGTTGCATTTTTTTTAAAGGCACAATATTTGTTTGTTGTGATCACAAGTGTGTAAATAAAACTTGCTCAATAAAAGTGAAAAATAACATGAATATTGAATATTTTTTTGACTACAACATCTTTGTCTTTAAAATCTTTTGTGTAACCTTTTTGAATTGACACCTGAGGGTTAAAGTGGTATTGAAACAGTAAGAGGAAGTAATGTGGAGCTTTTTTTTTTTTAGTAAATGAAACCTTTGTGTTATTTTGTCTCACAGTTTCTCCACCGCTGATTCACCTTCATCCGTTTCATCCTCTCGATCCTCATCAGCGTCATTATCGAGGCTCTTCAGCGTCACATCCCCACTATGATGAACTTCAACAGCACTGAGTCCTGGCTCTTCATCAACACATCCTTTCCCATCCTACCTGTGATATCCAGTCCAGCTAACAGAAGTGGGATGGAGGCGTATCTCCAGAGACTGGCACATTTAGACGAGGGGCTCTACAACGACTTCTACGGCCTCTGGATCGCACTCATGGTCGTAAACTCTCTCATTTTCCTGGTAGGCAGTTTCTACAGAGCCTTTTTGCATCTCTACTCTTTTGCTACATCAACACGGTTTGTCTAATTCCCCTCCTTCTCTGTCTGTTTTCCAGGTGGGCATGGTGCTCAACATAGTCGCACTTTACGTTTTCTGTTTCCGCACCAAGCAGAAGACCACCTCGGTGATCTACACCATCAACCTGGCGGTGACGGACCTCCTGGTCAACCTGTCGCTGCCGACCCGCATCCTGCTCTACTACAGCGGAGGAGCTTGTCTCACCTGCTCCTACCTGCACATCTTCAGCTACTTCGTCAACATGTACTGCAGCATTCTGTTTCTGACCTGCATATGCGTCGACCGCTACCTCGCCATCGTGCAGGCGAGTGAAGCCAGACTGTCTCTTTGTAGCGTGCCGGATAGATCCTGACTTCAAAACCAGAAGGTGTCTGAGTTCTCTTTTGTTCTCGCAGGTCGAAGCTTCCCGGCGTTGGAGGAACTGCAGCGTGGCCAAATGTGTGTGCATCTCCGTCTGGCTGTTTGCCATCGTGGTCACCTACTCGTTTCTGTCCACGGCCTTCCAGCACACGGGCTGCTGCCTCTCCAAGCTCCTCTTTCTCACCATCACCGAGTTCTTCCTTCCCCTTGTTATCATTGTGGTCTTTACGTTACGCATCATGTGGGCTCTGGCCGACCGCCGTCTGATGCAGCAGAGCAGGTGTGTTTAGAGCTCAAAACTACGACTTCCTGCAGCAATAAAAGCATCGGAGGCCCACAAGTAATGTGATGCTTTTACCTATGTTTTCTCAGGGAGAGGAGAAGGAGGGCTGTGCAGCTGCTGACCACTGTGCTGATCATCTTCACTGTCTGCTTCACACCTTTCCACGTCAGACAGGTGAGTTATCAGCTATTAAAATGCATTGTTCACATGTAAATTTCTTGTCCTGTAGGTTGCATCAGGCTTTTTGCTGCGCATCTCATAGATGCCTCGATCAGGTTGGGATTTGAAGAGTTTGGAGGCCAGGTCAAGGCCTCTCTGGGCTCTTTGTCGTGTTCCTCAAGCTGTGCCAGAGCGGTTTTTGCAATTTAGAATGGCACATTGTCATCGCTGTAATAAATTACTGTAAAAATACAACCAAGTTCTGACAGTGTTTTTCCTAAATATGGTTACAAAACTGTAAAATCTGATGCCTTTTTGGTGTCACTAACAAGAACAGCCTTTAACAGCAGGCTGCTGTGTCAACTGAACAAAACATTTAACACAAACTGACACAAACAAGACCCAAAACGACACAGATGTAATAAAAATGAAACAGAAAACAACAGAAAACTGAGTAATCAAGATGTAAAGTAACAAAATAGCCACAAAAAGACACAAATTAGACACAACATGATGAGCTGTTACACCTAAAAGTTGTAAAGGTTGGTGTATATACTGTGCCTAAAAGTATATGTATATTTATACAATTTGTATATAAGTAGCGACACATTTTCTAAACTTTTGTTGTATTGTTTTAATCTTCAACTGAAATACTTAAAAAAGTTGGGCTGCCGCTGTAGCTCAACTGGTTGAGCTGGTGACCCATGTACAGCGGCTATACTCCCCGATGCAGCAGCCATAGGTTTGAATCCCGCTCATGACCCTTCCAAAGTTCTTCCCTCCCACTTTCCAGACAGGAAAGTGGGAGGGAAGAATTGGAGATCAGAATTGATATCCCGATTCCAGCACAGCGAACAAATAGTTGGCTATTCAGGTCCAGCCCTAGTATGAAAATTCACATTTTAAATACTCCGGGTCATATTCGCGCTTTGCCATCTTGCTTCCCAACATCAACACAAACTAAAAATGAACGTCAAGCTACCGTGCCTGTCAAAATAAAATTTTTTTCAAAATAAAAAATAAGTCCAACCTGAGATGCACATTATACATTATTTAATTTTGACCAGCTGCCCGCGACCCACCCAGAACAGATCCGCGACCCACTTTTGGGTCACGACCCACCAGTTGAGAACCCCTGCTTCAACTCATGTCAGATGATAGTCTATGACCAGCACTGCTTTGTGGTTTAGAGGTCACGAGACAAAACAAGATGTGTTGCTGATAAAGGAAGACTGAAGCTGCTGTCATTATTTATCCTTTTCATTATTGTGTGTGATTGTGTCTTTGTGCTGCAGGTGGTGGTGTACTTCTACCCCGACATGCCTCATCATGTGATCGTTTACCACTTAACCGTCACCCTCAGCAGCTTGAACAGCTGCATGGATCCAGTCGTCTACTGCTTTGTTACTAATAATTTCCAGGTGAGACTGAAGTTGTTTCCTCCTCCTCCGTCCTGACCTCGTTCCTCTCTGCCACTTATCCATCCTTCCCTCCAGCCATAATTTGTCCATCCATCACTCATTCATCCAACTTTTTTTCTTTTTTTCTTTCTCACTCATCGATTCACTAAATTATTTACTGCCCTTGCTGCCCTCAGGCCACCATGAGGCATCTTTTCCGCCGAGCAGAGCCCGAGCAGACCAGCGGAGACATCGTCAGTATGCAGCACAGCTCCAAGGCCTCGGGAGGGACGGCCAACGCCATCGCTAATAATGTGATCATGATGACCAAGATTCCCAGCGCACTGCAGAGAGACAATCTGGGGACAAATCACACGCTGTAGACCCAGTTTTACAAGGGCTGCCTAGAACTGAAAGTTACAGAATCCTGGACTCTGCAACATGCTGACCAGTGACAACGGCATCATTATGTGATGGCACAGGACTGACACTTTTTTTAAAATAATAAGCACCAACAAACTCACAACAAGAAACATCCAGGGTTGGCTCCACAACTTTTACAAACTACTTGAATCAACAACAGCATTGACAAGAGCAACAATTTGAGTGCAACTAAACCTTTTTCATTTATGCCAAGAAACAATCTGCAGTTTGCTGCCTGATTCCAACAATGCAACATAATCCTGACTTCTGGATTTTATTACTTGTAGAAAATGATTTACAGAGTACAACACACCCCTGTACAATATAACTGAAATGTTCAATAATTCAACATTGCATCACATCTTAATATTTGCATTATGTTTAAGCTGACCTGTAAAGTGTTTTCTCACATCAGCAATCAAAAACAAGTACTTCAGAAATTGAACATACAGTCTCCAAAGAAGAAATTGGAAGCAACAAAACTGAAATACACCAGTGATCTCCAATAAGCACCAGAACTTTTTAAATGTTGGACTTATGAGCTGTGTCTATCTGCATGTCTGCATCATGGCTTCCATGTGGAAAAGAATCACCAGAGGACCTTAAACATCCAACTGTGAGGCTTCACAAAGATGGAAACCAAATAAAAATCGGTTGCAGCAGTAATCAGGAGGTCTAGAAGGAGCCATAGTAGCACTAATCAGAGCTGCAGTGGTCATTTTCTTAAAGTGACGCCACAGACAGTGAACTAATTTCACAATCTAGCCCTGAAAAACAGACTTGCTCCAGACTTGGCTCAGGGGCTATCGATGAAAATCAGAGTTTTTGTGAAGCTCAGACAGCGTGAAGGACACTTCATAGTATCAACTTCTATGGATGCCATCCAAGAAAAAAAGACTTTGCTCGCTCCTTGACGCAACACTGCAGGATTAGATTTAACTGAGCAACATGAAAATAAACCTGATGAACACTAGGAGCACATTCTTTGGTCAGGATTAGTTTGTTTAGCTCAGATGTGGTCCAGCTTGTTGAACCTGACCAGGACCACCACAGTGGATGCATAGTCCTGACAGTGAAGCACGGAGGTGGCAGTATCATGATATGAGGCTACATGAGAGGAAAAGGTGTTGGGGAGATGACATTTACAGACAGATCCATTTGGACCACAGATTACCTGTGCTATGTAACACCGCTATCCATAAGGCAGCAGCACTCCCACATGGCAGTGACCTCCTTCAGCAGGACAATAATCCATGCCAAAAACTACTCGAGGAATGTGACAAAGGGCCCCAAGCATCCACCTGGCTTATGTGGAATGCTTGTGGATAAACCAAAATACTGGCTGGCAAGATGACTCCCAGTCTGCAGGAGTATGAAAGAAGAGGAATATTCCAGCAGGAGAACCATCCAAAGAACTGAAACACACAAGAGTTTCTAAACGTGAAAACTATGACTTGGACTGGTATGTTGATTGACTTGAATCCAACACCTTGGTAGAGCAACACCTGAAAAGATTGTCTCTTAAAAATTATAGAACATCTCTCCAGAAATGTAGTGTCCTCCATGTCAAGGGGGATTGAGTATCTCATCAAAAATAGCTTTTTATTTTTTGATTGTTAGTTTTTTATTTAACATGGGATGAACTTAGACATAATGCAGTTATTGAAGTTATACAGTTTGGAATCATTCGTCATTTAAGGCTGAGTGGGAGCACAGTTGCAAAATGAGCAATGATAGCTGTGACTTCTGGTATGCAGACGGCCTTAAAATAACCAGGATACAGAACAAATGTACTGACATCAACATAGATGACAATGATTACCATCTTGACACCAGGATCCTTGTAACATACACACTTCTTACAGCAATGCCCGGTTCAGTGTGAGTAAAAGGAAGGAAACACCTTCAGCAGTCACCCACGTTGAAGGATAGTGATATGTTTTATTGTCTTAACTGCAAATAAAAATGAAATATATAATAAAACATGTGTGAATCATGACCACTTTTGTGCAGCAGAGGGCAACATTGCACTTCATTTCAAAGACCATTGCAGTAAAACATTATTTCTCATGAGGGAGCTGCTTGGATGACTGAAATCTGCTGCTGTGAATGTTTGGGAAAAGATTAGAATTCCCTCTATTCCAACAAGGTGATATGTGCTGTTAATGAAGAAAATGGTAGTTTTTTGTTTCACCTGCAATTCTCAGAAGAAAACGTATCTCATTAAATGTATATTTGTGATAGTTGGGTGAAAATTTTAAAAAGATGCTCAATCAAGAGCTGAGGAAAAGAATGATTTCAGTTAGATCATGCTCTAGAATGGTGGAAGACATTTATAGGTGACGTTTAAAGATGGTAAAATGTGGGACTCTGTGCTATTTAATGATGTTTTTGCACTATGGACCTTCAAAACGCTTGGATGTGACTTGACAGCCTTTAATCATCACATGAGCAGCGACAATGTGCAGCCCTCTCTTTGTGATGAACCCTAAAAGCAGCTCACTGAGCTCTGAACATCTCTAACACAATGTTTTATCTTCTTTAGTCACTTGTTTGTGACATTTCCCACCAAAAACAAACAAAAAAATGCTGGTCAAACAAAAAATGCAGCATAAATCAACATTTAGCATGGGAATGAATGATTTTCAATTACTCTGCAAAGATTTCCCAGATTGTCACATTGCAAAATTGAACTGAAAGTCCAATTATGTAATAGAAGTTCTTGCAAAGCAACATCCACCCTTGATTTTATCAGACTATGGGACGACTGCATTAGCTTTTCTCTATCTATCGTGTAATAAAAATGATCTATAACATGACAGAAATTACAGGATTGCTTGCTAAGGTATAGAAGTCTTAATTTTCTCAATGTTTTATGACAATTTCAATAATTTTGGATATGGTATTTTTCGAAAACAGTGGGAAAAAACGTAAAAATAGGCAAAATGTGTAATTAATATCTCTAACAAGAAGTCTGACTGTGTTTTGTGACTTGTTTATATCATTTCCAGTCAGAATAAACCTGTTGGTCAATTAATAATTCACCATAACTCATTAAAAAATTCTGTGTTTAGCTTATTAATCCTAGCATCTTTTAATGCAATACATGAATACACGCTATGAGCCAATGTTTAGTTGCTGATTAATGGATGAGTGACATTACAAGTAGTTTTACTGTAAGGAGGTGACGTCACCGCGCCCTCCGCTAACCACGCCCCTCCTAGTTACTGTGGAAACCGGTGACATTGATGAGGGCAGTGAAGCAGATGCTCACTAAGTTAGCTGGCGAGCTTTAGCTTCTCTGCCAGCCCATAATTCAGACTTTTATTCCTCTGACACAATGCGGAAGTGGTCGTAACCTCTTTTTTTTTAAACCACTGCGGAGTAAAGTCTCAGGTAAGTTTCATGTTTAAATATTTTTATTTAACTCGCTAACTTCCTGATGTGTTAGCCGAGCTAGCTTGCTAAGATCAGTCAGGTGTTTTCATCCATAAGAGACACTTCTATTTATCGCTACTTGCAGCTTCCTCAAACGCTAAAATGACAGGTAACAGCTTGTTTTTGTGCTGTAAGTTGGTGTGTACCTGAGCTTTACTTCAGTTAGACGTGTCCTAACTGGTTCAACAGGACCCCCAGACACTCACGTGTTGTACATTCCTGTGAGAAACTCCACTTACAGGAGGCTGAAATGCCATGTATGTGTTATGATTACATAAAGGTTAATGTGTCACGTTGTCAAAACAGCAGAAAACTGCTCAGCTCTGTTTCACATCAGAAGCGTTTAAATATTAACTTATATGTGACCTGACCTTTTAGGATTAGTTTCCTATGTTTACTTGAGGGAAAACAGGAAGAAAATAGGAAGATAATAATAATAATAATAATAATAATAATAATAATAATAATAATAATGTACACAGCAGTGGGCTTTCTGTTACATTTTTAGTTTACAAAATAATTAAAAAAAACATAAACATTCAGCAGCACCTATAGATTATACGTGCAAATCAGATTGGCGAGCATAACATTGGAAAAAACAGATGCACACATAATATATATTTGGTCATATACAGTGTAGGTTTTGACCAGATTATTTCTTATTTTGTCATTTAGTAAACTGAGTGATTTCAGTAGGGAGAAGAGGTACAAACTAAATAAATACTTATGCAAAATTCTAGGCTTTGAATAAAAAAATGCATATATAATAAATCAAATATTCAAATGTGCTTATTAGATTATTATATTAACAGATAATATCTTTGAATTTATTATAGTAAATTAATTTAGAAAAATGATCTGTCCAAAAATGTTTTGATATTTCACATTCAAAGAATAGGTGAGAAACTGTATTATGTTTTCATACTGTAAAAGAAAAAAAAAAAGTCAATTTGTCAAAATATGTATCTTTTAAATAGCATATTAGATGTAAAATTTAGATTATTTTGCATTTGAAATACTGTACTTACAAGGTAAAAGCCAGGCCTTGAGGTGTAGTTTTTGTTAAGCTAATGTGCTTATTATTGCAATTTATTAGTTCCAACATCCAACATCTAATCACTATTTATGTCTCCTAAATTAAGTGCTGTCTATGTAGCATCAGATGTGTCTATCACAGAGGAGTTCAGCAGTTCAGATCTGCAAGTCTTAACTGTTAACACTTACGTAACAGCTATGGCGTTGTCATTATGTTTTATTTCGTAATGTGGCTTTTGTTCATCCTCTGATGTTGGTTTTGTGGTTCGAAGTTTATGGTTAGAGGTGATGTCCCGGAGCAATAGTTTAGTTATGTCAGAATTGCTTCCTCATGTGCCTTTACTCTGACTTCTGACATCTGTCCCCTTTATAGAATGTTCTGCTTGACAGCACAGGGTTTATGTTGACTTTAAATTTGTTGTCTGTGTCCTTCTTTGAAGGCAGGGCAGCATTTTTCCGAAGCCAAGAGAGTTTTTGTTTCCGATCATGGGAGCCAACTGCACTAAAATACTTTTACACATGGGAACCTTCTAGTATTTGACCCTTGCCCCTGTCCTTACAAAAAAAATGTCCTTTATGAGTCATATCTATCAGCATCTGAACGCAACACAAAGGCAGGAAAATAAGCTACGACAGGCCGTGTTTTATAGCCTTTTATAGTCTTTTATAGCTTCCATTGTCTGCTCTTTCTGCAGGTTGCTGCCTGACAGTGAGCCTTTGCACAGGAATTGCCAGATGTTCTGACCGGGTTTTGCACTCAAATGCACATGCACATGATCCAGACTGTGCCACTATATGCATGCCACCTCCAGCTCACACTGCAGCAAACACATTCACAAACCTATTCAAGCAGCCACCGGACCTCATAACGCCCTTATCACGCCCTGTGTTGCCTTCCACCTCCTCTGCTCTTCCCTGCTCCTCCCCTCTACATACCTACGGAGCTGTGCACAAGTTTTCTGCTCTACTGGAGTTTTGAACTTGAGGAGGGCAGCCGTGAGGAGCACCGCCCCTCTCCAGCTGAGCTCCTGAACCATGCTGCCTGGTCACATATCGTCATGATGGCCACGGGATTCAGTTTTACATTTTTTGGATGTATTTATCTCACTATCATCTCACTGTCTCACGTCTTCCTGGACAACTTCTTATGCAGTGAGTAATCAAGATGAAAAACATGGACCTTGCATATTATATTAGCCTACTGTGGTAAAGTTGTGCTTGCATTTCTAGAAAAATAGTGGCAATAAGTCCTATTCACTACGATACAGCCACAACCCCTGAAGTCAAACCAGACTGAAATGGGAGGCAAAGCAGAGGAGAAAGAGGCTTCTGGCCTTTTAGAGCGCAGAAAACCAGAGGAAGAAGCAGAAGACAGTGAGAGTGAGAAGGAGGTGGAGGTGGATGGCAGAGGAGTGCGGATCCCTCTGCATCGCTGGGTGATGCACGGAGCCGTCATGTTTGGACGTGAGTTTTGCTACGCCATGGAAACGGCCCTGGTGACGCCTGTGCTGCTGCAGATAGGTAAGACGTCCACACAAAGTGTTGCTCTCTTTGAGAGATGTTCAAGTCACATCACGCTTTGTTACTAGTGAATGATGTGGATCTGGTCAAAGTGAGTTTGTGTTTGGGACACAGATAGCAGCAAAACATGTGCTACAGTAACTTATACAAATAGTAAAAATGAGTACGTGCCACTGCTGAGCACACATACCAGACTAAATATACATTCCCCGGTTTGTTTAGAGGTAGACCCCTGCCAGTTAACCCTTTCATGCATTGCAAACTAAACTCCACTATTTGCAATAATTACTCCAAACCAGCATTGGACGCCTGTTTGCTGCTGCATTATTATTGTCTTAGTTAATGTTTATTTCCTTGAAATATTGCATCAAAAATCCCTCAAAATACAATCTGATTACCTGTTAGTGTAAGGAATATTTTGATCAAAGTTTCATCCGTTTGCTTTTATTTGATTGTATTTTTTTTTTTTTTTCATTTTATGTTTTTCTACTTTTGTAATGTGACTGTAAACTGTCACTGGTTATATTCTGCTCATCAGGACCTTCTGTGGCAGTTGAGTCAACTAATGCGACAACTTATTAGAATTTAGTGTTCAAAGGTTAATCCAAGGGAACACTTGTGTCAAATTTGATGAAATGTGTGTTCTGGAGATATTGCATCCACACGAGATCATAATAACCTCAACTTAAATAACCTAATAAAATGACCCATAAATAGTCTATTGTAACCATACCTTGTTTACTCAATAGTTATTGGATTTTTATCTGTGTTAATATGTTTTCCTATATCAATTATCTATTTTCTTAGACTATGTTTACGCTCAAAAATAATATTCACCATTAAAGTCACCTGTTGATGCATGATGTCCACCACAGTAGACCGCTGAACATCTCTTGTAATCATAGATATTGACAAAGCTCCTATTGAACACATTTTAAATCTGGTTTGAAAGAACAAAGACTTCGACAAAAATTCTCACACAGTTTTTATTCATTCATGCATAAACAGGTGAAGGTGTACGGTGTGGTAATAGTTCCATCAGTATCACCATATGATGTTTTTTTTTTCAGGTATTTTAATGATATATTTTCAGTTGAGTTCATTTCAGTTTTATTGACGTAGTGCCAAATCATAACGTACAGGAAGTTATGTCAGATTACTTTACAAAGTGAGGTCATGACCTTACCATTGGGGCTGTTTCATTCCAGTCAATGTTGAAGTGTTGTTTCAATTAAACCCCCTAACTTTGAATTTAGCACATTTATCAAAGTACACAGGTTAATAATTTTAATATTAACGTAACAATGAAAACCACAAATAAATAATTTGGCCTAGTCCTCCTTGGGAGACTTACATGAAGCCACAGGGAGAGCAAAGGAGGATAAAAGGGCAGCATTGAACCAAACTTTGTGCTTTTGTTGTGTGTTTTCATGAACCTATTGACCAGTGTTCATATTGGTGTTGATGACAGGTCTCCCACTGGTGCATGTCGCTATTATTTTATTACCAAAGCCTGTTATTGCCCTTATTGAGAGAGATCAAACAGTTGCACTTTGGGGGGGTTAAAAAACTCCCTTTTCATTGGAAGAAACCTCCAGTAGAACCAGACTCAGGATGGGTGACTGTCTGTCGTGACTGGTTGGAGATGAGCATTGAGTAACAACAAAACAACAAACGCTGGGAGGTGCAGCTCTGTAATGTGAGATACTTGCAGAAAGGTACAGCTAGTGAGAAGATGCAGTAGTGGCACATGAATGTATGGAGAACCATGGTGGCAGTGTTCACCTGGTTAGTGTCAAGAAATTGGAAGAGCCACAATATCTCACAGTTGACCCAGATTCAGCTTGGAGTACAGTGTTGTTGAGTTACCCAAAGGACACCGGTCTAAACTCAGTACTCAAGTAGCAGTTTACATTAACTAGACCACATCCCCTGATCTCCCTGACTGCACCTCTGCGCCACGTAACCCTGAGCAGTAGCCGGCAGGGAGCTATGCAGTTAGATGTCAAGTTTGCCATCATAGCAGAAATGGAACAAAGGCATTTTTCCCTCAGCTAGGTATGACAGGAATGTCTAACACAGCACATTTCAGTCTCACTGTCAATGTTAACAAAGATCATGTTTTACCAACTTTCAGCTAAACACCATTCAGGGTGATTTGGAAAGATTTTCTAAGGGCCCGGTGGTGTTTTGTCACCACAGCTGTAGTCTTAGTTAACTTAGAGTTGAATTTATTAATGGCCGTTTGTCTCAAAGCAAAATTAGTTGTTGAGTTGCTTTCGTATATGAGCTATCCAGGATCTACAGAGTTTCAATTATCTGCCATATGCCATTGATCATAGTTAGAATTTGACTGTTGATGCAGGAATATTGGTCTAAAATAGGTAGAATTGTTGTTTAGGATTAATTATTTATAACTAGATTACTCATAACTAGATTACTCATAAATCCATATGCTGGATGTTTTGCTGTTTCAGAGTCTGTGTTGCTAAAGTTTGTCACTTTCAGAAACATTAACACCTTGAATCTGAATGAAGTCCGTTAGCGATACACTTTAAACAGTTGACACATTAACTAAGTGTTCGATTTTTGAGGCTACAGACTTTGCTACTGCCAATACACACAGCACAGGCATCCAGTTTATCTGTAGGTCATGACGAGATTAGTCGTAGTTTTCTTAATGTCAAATATATCGATTTATAGTTGCTGAACTTTCCAGAGCTCCTTCAGTCTGACCAGATGTTTATTATCTCTCTTGAATCATCTGTAAACAGGTAGATATACATTTAAGGTGGTGTTAGGTACACAAACCTCTGACCTCAAGCACTTTCAGGCCGGTGAGTCCACATGCTGCTAAACATGTAAGAAGATCAGCCTAAATTGAGATTGTTATGGAATTGAAGCTTTTTTTTTTTTTTTTTTTAATACTGTTGCACAATTAATCAAATATAAATCTTAATCATGATTTTCAGGTCAAACAATGTGGGTTTTTGTTTCACTTCTGGCTCAGTTTTTCTCTGCAGTATAAAGTCCTGTTCGTCTGGAAACAGCACAAACTTGAACTGAATTAGAGAATATTTAAAAAACATATTTTGTGCAAGTTATGCATTAATCATGCAAACAAAGAGAAATGTAATAAAATGTGGACTCAGTATGTGCAACTATGTGCACGCAGGTGCTTCTAATACTAGTAAAGAAATGGTGGCTCTAAATACTGTAAATATTTCACCACTCACATTTTAAATTTGTTTCCACACTTCTACACACAGCCTGCAGTTCAACCGAAAGTCTGATGATTGTTATTGGCAGCTAATATCTTCTTCGTTGTTCTCAGGAGGGAATATTTTTATTTTTTCTGGTTTGTTTTTGGCATTATTTTTCAATTAGACATGTAGAATAAAGTGATTTTGATACGATATCTAGATTTTAAGCACTCATTTAGTTCATTTTCCTGACAGACCTGCACGTGACACAGGATTAATTCAACATCTACTGGAAAAATCTGATAATTCTCTCTGTTTTCACAGATTGGTTCTGATAAATGGCATATTTATGATGACTTTTTTTATTCCCAGTAGTAGGATTTGAGGTTCAGAGGGTTAAATGAATACTGAGGTTTCAGGGAAAAGTCTGCTGCATATGAAGTCAAACACTTCCTAAACTGGCAGCCAGGCACTGGGCACCACTGGTAGCTCTTGTTTGCTGTATAGAACAAGATAAAATACTGTTCTAAGGAATGCCCGGCTTTCTGAAAACCTCATCCTGGAGAGTGGCTCAGCAGAACAGAATCAAATGTAATCCTCTGGTTTCTAAAGAAAAAGGTTTGACTCATGTTGGAACGACTCACAACTACAAACTAAGAGTGTGACTAAGCACTAAAGCTTAGCGTTAAACTCAAGTCGCACATCTGACCAACTTTTCCTTCTTGCCTCGTGACTGTGCCGTCCCTTTTGCTTGGGGCTGCCTTGCGGAGTTGTTTGGATGTTTACGTACGTTATTACTAACTGGAACGCACTGTGTGTGTTCTTGGGCTCAAACAAACAAGTCCAATACATTTCCTTCCTCACTGCGCGTGCTTCAGGCAAACCCACTGATAAAAAAAAACAAAAAAACTGCTCCACCAAGAAAGAATGAGTGACGGACGGAGAACGAGACATTTTTTTCTTGCTGTGAGAAAGTCATGTTCTGTTCTGTTGACTTAAGGGAGCAGGGAGGCGGGAACAGAGCCGTGGAGCTGTAACATGCCGTTCCCATGAGAACAGCCCAACTGACAGAACTCATCAGATTTTTATATTAAAACTATAAGTCCACTTTATCCTTAAGAGTAGAAAAATCGGAAGAATTGTTTTTTAAATATATCTTACAGCCATTAAATGTGTGTCCAAGTAATACACTGAAATCTATCCATCTTTCACTGTTTGTGAAATGATTAAAAAAGGTCCAAGATGAGTGTTTCCTGCATGCTGAAGCTCTGTCCTGTCTTGCAACAGCAGCTACTAGAGGTGATTTCCCCACTTTCCTGCCTCGTTGGTGCATATTTCTGTCTGTTGCAACTGGCCGCCGTATTATCTGAAACGTTTCTAAAAGTCATCGCTTCAGGATACGCACCAGTGGTTCTTCAGCTGGTGCGTTGGCATGCATGGGCTGCCGTGTGCTATGCTTCTGTAAACAGTGGAACATGGGAAAACTTAAAAATACTTAGAAAGTTTTTTTTTTAAAAAGCCTCTCTGCCCCTGACGTACACCGGTGCAGTTATCTAGGCAAGTCCCTGCATGACAAACATATGAATAGGGAGGTTTTACTCAAAAGAGAGCCCTGCTAATGAGTAATTTATTACAGAAAGCATCAACGCACGTAATGTCAGGACTTTAGTCACCAGTTTTTTTAGTCCAAGTTAACCCCAAAACATACTGACAGGAATGAAGGCGTTTTCTTTAAATCAACATATTCATCAGAGCGAGAAACTGTAAAAACAGAAGAGATGATCACATGATGAAATTTCAGAGGCTTTTTACGAGCAAACCGCAGACTAAAAGGCATCGAGAGCAAAATAAACACACTTAATTGGTAAAATAAAAGCAGCATGGCTCAAAAACAGTGTCCAGAGGAGCAGGTTGTTGGAGGATACAGTCAGCATGGTGAAGCATCTTTTTAAAGCCAGTGTGCACAGTAGAGTGGAAGATTTTGTTAAGTTGTAAAATGTAAATAGCTATTTAACCTCCCTGATTAAAAAACTAATAGTGAAGTGATAAACTTATTGCATTCTGTTTTCCAATTTGGACTTGATGTTCTTTAGAGTTTTATAGGATCTATCATCAATAAAACCTCTCCTTCATATGCCCTGTGATTCTTTAATTTCATTTATCTGTTGCTGTTTGGGAGCAAGACTCCATTTAAAAAAAAAAAAAAGCAAACTCAAGACCTACCTTTTTAGTCAAGCTTTTGATTTGATAGATTTTATTTGTTTACTAGTTTTTATTTCTTATTTAAAACTCATTTTATTTATTGAGTTCTCTATTTATTCACCTGTGTACATATTTGAGACTTTTTATTGTACTGTTTGTTACTTTGTTTTTATCATTTCTTATTCTGTTATTTATTTATTTAACTTTATTTGTATATCTTTTAATAATAGGTATCTTATTTATTTATTGATCTATTTTATTTGATCTTATTTTATCCTCTCTGGTGTTTCCTCATTGCCCGTGTTGTACAGGGTAGCGTGTCCTCAGTTCTTCAATTCCAGTGTCTTAGAGTGCTGTTATTGATAACTTGACTGATGGGGTAGGGCAGGGGTCTCCAATCCTGGTCCTCGAGAGCCACAGTCCTGCATGTTTTAGATGTTTCCCTCTTCCAACACACCTGATTCACATGATCAGGATCGTTATCAGGCTTCTGCAGAGCTTGATGATGAGCTGATCATTTGAATCAGGTGTGTTGGAAGAGGGAAACATCTAAAACGTGCTGGATAGGGGCTCTCGAGGACCAGGATTGGAGACCCCTGGGTTGGAGGGTTCTTTGTATTGTTTTATTGTAGTTTTATTTTCTGTAAAGCGCTTTGTGTTGCATTTCTGTTTGTATGAAAAGTGTTATAAAAACAAAGTCTGATTGATTGATTGAAGGATGTGTTACTGTGAAAACACAGGTAGTTCAACAATCAGGATCTTGCTGTAATAAGGAAGACTATTATCTAATAATGTAGTCAAAAGGAAACAGAGCTGCATGGTCCTAAAAATAATCACATTTCTGATCTGATTCAGTGTATTTGAGTGAATCTCGTCTGTGTGTGTTTTTCAGGCCTTCCTGAGCAGTATTACAGTTTAACCTGGTTCCTCAGTCCCGTCCTGGGCCTCCTCTTCACTCCTCTGATTGGCTCGGCCAGCGATCGCTGCACTCTGCGATGGGGCCGGAGACGACCGTTCATCCTGGCTCTCTGTGTGGGAGTGCTGCTGGGAGTGGCGCTGTTTTTAAATGGATCTTTAATAGGTGAGGCTTCAGAGGAGATCACCGCTCACACATTCTAATTTTACAGTTTGTCACAATCTGTCTTTTCTGTGTGGTGATTTCAGGCCTGTCCATCGGCGACAGCCCCAACAGGCAGCCAATTGGCATCATCCTCACTGTAGTAGGCGTGGTGGTGCTGGACTTCTGCGCTGACGCCTCTGAGGGACCAATCAGGGCTTACCTACTGGATGTTGCTGACACTGAGGAGCAGGATATGGCTTTGAACATTCATGCCTTCTCTGCCGGTAAGACAAGCACCCACATGCAAGACTGTCCTATGAGACATTTCAGCTATTCAAGAAAGCATCTGTCAGTGGTTCAAAGGTCTTGAAAACATGTAGGCATTTTCTCAGAATCTAAGCTTGAAGAGCGTAGACAGGAAGGTTTCACATGATTTGTGTTTGTCCTTCTGTTTGCCTTTGTTTCTTCCTAAAGTAACGACATTCATCTGTGTCTAACCTGTCTATTGCAGGATTATTGCTGCAATATAAACTACAAAAGTATGTTTTTTATGAATATGTGAAAGAATCTTTAAATGTGCATATAAATGTGTTCAGTGCAGCAGACGTACAATCGTGTAAAATCACTTATATGTCAAATGATTATAAATTGCATCAACTTCCAGTAATTAGTATTATTTCTATTGTAGAGGCTAAGCCAATGCTTTAAGCCAGTGGTCCCCAACCCGTTTTTCATCATGGACCGGTTTTAATCAGGAACATTTTCTACGGACCAGTCATTGCACAAAAAATAATTGTTTCTACTATTAAAAAGTTTCAGAAATTAATAAAATTACTTGTTAAATATGTGTTTCCGTCTCAGTATTGAGTCTCTTTCCAAAGAAGCTCTCCTGAGATGTTTGTTTTCTTATTTATTTTGGCAGCGGTTAGACTGACGGCTTCGTTTAACGGCCGAGCATTAAAACTAATAAGAGTCAAGTGCGAGAAACAAGACGGACGCGACGGGAAGACGAGCTAGTCATTTTTCAAAATAAAACACCCTGCAGACTCCACTGGAAATAAAAATAAACCAATCAAATGTTTAGTTTTTTTTTCTTTCTGTGCGGCCCGGTACCAAATGACCCACGGGCCGGTACCGGTCCGCGGCCCGGTGGTTGGGGACCACTGCTTTAAGCCACTGAGGCAATCCAGACAGGAAAACTTAATTGATGCGCTATATTACCTATGTTTAATGAGTTAAAGTCAAACTCATATTGCTTTATGATGCACGCAATGTCTTTATTTGTTATCCAGATCTTCTAAACTGGTTCACGCCAAACATGCTGAACTCCATCTGAGCCATACAAATTTATCTTGATCATCTGACTAAAGAATGTTCCAAATATTCATCAGGCGTCTTTTCATGTTCTACATCAGAGTTGAATGTTGTAGACAACTTCAAAACTGAAGCACTTTCAGTTGGATTTTTTTTTAATTTTTCACTGATCCTCCTGTTTTCTCTTCTGTCTTCGTGAAGTCTCACAATCAAGTTTTTCACTTCCTCTGGCAATTATTTTCCGTGTGAAGTTATGATGCAGTCCAGCAGATAGATTTTATGTGCTTATGTGTGTCAGCGATCAGGTGTATTCACTTTTGTTGCATTGAGTTTCTACTTTGGGGTCTGTATTTTCAACTCAGACTTTCAAAAATATTAGTTTCTGATTGTTCATGAGAGGAAATAGTCTACTTAACAAATTAGAAATAATACAATTATTAAAAGGTCATATCATTTTGAATCATTTTACATGTAAGTCAGATTGCACAGACGTATATTCAACTTATAATATTTCATAATAATATTTTCTAGTAGCTGCATGGAGTCAATTAAGAGGCACACGTGAGGTGGAAATGAAGATGTACTCATTTGTCAAGCTGTTGATGTTAAATACTTAAAGTTTTTAATTATATTCAGTGTCTGAGTTGTTCTTCTAACCTACAAATCTCATTCACGTGTACACATTTCATGACATATTTATGGATTTTTGTACACATTTGCTGTTTCTTTCCCACATTCATCTGCTATTGCTTCACTCACACCTGTATATCTGTCTTTCCAGGACTCGGTGGAGCGGTGGGATACATGTTGGGTGGTCTAGACTGGACCGGCTCGGCTCTGGGCCAAGCATTCAAATCACAGGAGCAGGTCCTCTTCCTCTTCGCAGGCGTCATCTTCATCGTCTCTGTCACGCTGCACATGCTCAGTATCCCTGAGCAGCCTTTCACTCCATCCAGCCTGCTGAAGGACTCGGGCAGTGCTGAGTCAACCAGCCAGCTGTCTTTAAGGCCAGTTGACCAAACGTCACCTTCACTGGATGTGATTGCCGAGGAGGACGCTCAAGCGGACAAAGAGGCAGATCCAGAGGAAGGAGACATGGATTTCCTGGCTGTGGAGCGAGTGCGGAGTAAAAGCGATTCAGTCTTAGCACTGCCAGACGCTACGATTAAGTTGGATCCTGACCTCCACCCGGACACACAAGGTTTCTTGCCGGAGACGTACTTTCTACCAGAAACACAGGAACTGCTGGAAGATGCTTTCAAACCATCTGACCACAGTGTTGAGTCTTCGCCTCCTCCTGGTGGACCACCAGCAGTCTTAGTGGACATAAATCCAGCTTTTGCTGAAGTTAAGCATCAAACAAATGGTCAGCTTCAGGTCAGCTGTGGCTCAGAGGACTCACATCTGAGACAGGTGAATGCAGCTGCCATAGTTGAAGCTAATTCATGGTTTCCACATTTACCTTTGAACAAAAAAAAAACACACTTGGATGTTTGTGAAAGGCTGTGGCTTTGCACTTTTTACAGAGTATAGCAGTTAGTTACAGATTTGGATGTAGCAACGCATCAATGGGATATTTCAGGAATGCCAAGCACAGCAGGCAGATGTAGCACAGCACTTCTAGAAAATTTAGAAGTCTCCGTGAAGGGAAAGCAAATACAAATCAAAGGGCCTGCAAAGTCCAGCAACTGGCTTCTTCAATTACAAGTCTTTTATGATAAATTAGAAAGGAATTTCCGCCTGCAGTCTTTCCTCATAACAAGCATTTGTTTTATACATTATTGGTTTTCCTGGCACATGCACAGTTGATATGCTTGCAAGTTTTGGGATGCATGAAGACATTAGCAGAGAGTCAGAGTGGAACGTTGCAGACTTGGGTGAATAATAAAATTGTAGACACATGGAAAGCATGAACTGGCCTGTACAGGAAGTGTTCTTTGTAGCTGCATGAAATTCTTTTGAGACTGTGAAACACTTTGTTGCCAAATGTCTGAAATGTCACGATCAGCAAGTTCATTAATCTGATTTCCCTATTTAATTTCTTATTTTTCAGTGAGCTATGTATAGAACTCTTTAGAGACTGAAAACCTCTGTACCATGTCACAGATATGGAGTCATTTTTGTTTTCTTTTTTCTGTCACAGCAGATCAGAGCTGCTAACGGTGCCAGTTCTCGCTTGTCATCTTCTGACCACCCCAACGCCATCAAAGGTCACGTTCCCACCAAGCTGGCGAGCCGAACTTCCAATCCTTCAGTTTCATCACGACACTCACACACCTACTACAGACAGGTAATCTTCATTGATCAGTAATCATGTTTCTGTAACAGCTGTAAATATTTGATTGATGCTGCAGTGAAAAGGCTGTTGTTGGTCTTTTTTGACACTTCAGGTGTCACGACCAATCAAACGTGTTTTATTTTCGGGTTTTCACAATCCTTTTTTTGTTTTTTTGATCGGAATCCAAAAACGAAAACCATTTAAGTGCTTTTCTTCCTTTTAAAAAAATAATTGAACAAAAAAGAAAATTCGATGAATACATTCTTTTGTTCACAAATAAAAAACCCAATTTACAAAATAGTCAATTTTTGGTTTTTGCTAATTCCTTGTCTCACTTGGGACAGACAATGGAACAGTCAAGAGAATAAGATGGTATTTCTGTAAAAGTATGACATTATAGAAAATTGGTGTGTTTTCCTCGTTCTTAGTATGAGAACAAAAAACAAATAGACCACATTCTCGTAGTTTAATCTGACTAGTTGACAGCTAGTCAGTCAGAACTGATGAAGCCTCTTGGATGAGAGGTGAACCGTCTTCAAGAAACCCAAGCAAGTCCAGTTGCTACAATTAATCTATGAGAATAACCATGACCTGGATGACTGAGAGTCTTCACAGACAAATAGACCACATGACTTTTTGTTTTTGGTTTCCAAACAGTTGAAGAACTTGCCAATAAACAAAAATGAACAGTGCTTGTCATTTTTTAAATTCCCGAAACTGTTTTAGTGTTTGTGGTTTTGAAGCAAAGATCAGAATTATTTTCTTTGATTTTTGAATTACAAACAAAACACCCATTGTCCACCGATTCCATTTCTTTTTTTTCCTTTAGCCCTCCTTTACGTTTTCATATTACGGTCGAGTGGGATCGCAGCGTTATCGGCTACGACGTTCGGGACTTCAGAGCCCTCGGCCGATCACCACCTCCCGCAGCCTGAACGACCTGAGCGGCATCCTGCTGCGAGCAAACAGGCGACAGTTGCAGCTGTCGGCCAGCAGTCTGTCGTCCGAGGCCTCCAGCAGTGCAGGCAAGGGAACCACTGTGAGGCTGCTCTGGCTGTCCATGTTGAAGGTGAAGTGAATTCTGTCATTTTATTCACAACATGGAAGCTAAACTAACAAACCAGCCTTTTGTGGAAGCCATTCTTCACCTGCTGGTTCTGACTCCCTTTGTTTATTTCACCACAGATGCCGAGGCAGCTCTGGAGACTGTGCGTGTGTCACCTCCTCACGTGGTTCTCCATTATAGCTGAAGCTGTGTTTTACACTGATTTCATGGGGCAAGTCATTTTCAACGGAGATCCCCAGGTACGTGCACACACTCTCTCACTAGCTGCTGGAACTGGCTTCATTTGGCATTTTCTATACCATGGAAACCACACATTGGAAGAAACATGAACTCAGCATGCTACTGTAATCTATGGATATACACAATAAAACGTCAGTTATTCAGTCTGTTTGTCAAGTCATGTGTGCAGCTATATTACTGCAGTTCTGCTTTTTTTAGGCACCAGCAAATTCCACAGAGCTTCAGAATTATCACAGAGGAGTTCAGATGGGCTGCTGGGGGCTGGTGGTCTACGCTGCTACTGCTGCTGTCGGCTCCGGTAAAACACAAACACTTCTTCGTTTCCATTTTTAGATCAGCTTACAGCACAAAACAAGTGGCGAGTAATACAGTTAAGTGTCTCCAGTGACTGATCATTTCTCTCCACTCAGCCATCCTTCAGAAGTATCTGGATAATTTTGATCTGAGCATTAAGGTCATCTACATCGTTGGAACTCTGGGATTCTCAATAGGTTGGTGAACGCATTAGAAGGCAGCTTACAACAGTAGAGCTGTAGATTTGGGAGAATTTACTTATTGGCAAAATGTTTTAACATTTAATAGCTAGACTACATATGTATTGCAGATATCCAGATTTCTATTCTTTCGAGTCAACAAGGACATTTCAGACAACCACGTCGTCATTCTTAAAGGCCAGAAGGTGCCACTATTACCATTCATCTTTATGGGGTTTCTCATTACACATATCTACAGTCTGCAGCTGAATTCTGACTGGTTGGAATTCAAGTCAAGATATCTTTAATTCCCCCCAAGTCAAAATATCATCATTGTCCTTTCTGGATATTTTAAAGTAGACTTGAACTAGTCAGAATTATGTTGTGGATAACTTGAACTGGAATTCCGACTCGTCAAAATTTATTTACAGATATCTTGAATTATAGTTTTGACGAGGTGAAATGACATTGAAGATGGCACTGCAACTGCATATAGTCATGTCATAGCAGAGCAGCAGAAGCTGAAGTTCTAGTAAATTTGGACCACAAGAGGACGGTCTCATTCTCCATAAACTCCTCACCCATTTGCTCCTGTTATTTCATGGCATTTCTAGCCATCTTATCAACCACAGCAGCCTCCTTTTCTTCTGCTAGGACTGTTTGAATGTTTTGCTGGAACCAACATCCAATGGGAAGCCCAGCATTAGCAGCAGTATGCACAATGGATCAGACTCGTCAGAATGACATATGAGACATCTGCACCCATTATTTTTACTTGTCCAAACTGATCTACAGATATCTCTCCTTGTCATTTTGAGTGGACACAATGATGTTTTAGATATGTGGAAGAAAACTTCTGACTAGTCACAGTTTAGCTACAAATAGTCAAAATGGCGTTCTTGATATCTGTAGTTTTAAATCTGGATAGTCAAATTTATCCATTACATTTTAAAATAGCTTGCCAGTGGTACGTAGATAACAAAAAGTTTATCTAACATTACTCAATGCCTTTGTTCTCTTTTATCTCAGGAACCGCAGTCATGGCAATCTTCCCAAATGTTTACGTCACCATGGTGATGATCAGCAGCATGGGCGTCATCTCCATGAGTATGTCCTACTGTCCCTATGCGCTACTGGGCCAGTACCATGAAAGCAAAGAGGTACGATCACACAAACAAACAGAAAAGACTCCATATTTTATAGTTTATATTATTTTGTCTTCAATGGCGACTTGTCCATTAACAAAACTTGAAATTAGTTTAGGTTTTGAGTAGGCATGTATTGTCAAGTTTTGTATCTTGAAATGTTTTCTGATCGAGTTCGTCTTTAGCCTCGGCTCCAAAGCATTTGAAGAAGGTTTCAGCTTGCTCAACGTTAAAAGCATATAGAAGATAAATTTACTAAATGAAATCTCTTGTGTTCTTTTCCTCAGTACATCAACCACAGTCCAGAAAACACTCGAAGAGGTTTTGGTATTGACTGCGCTATCTTATCCTGCCAGGTCAGTAGAAAATGTCTTGTTCGCTCTAAACTGACCCAGTTGTATGAAACCATCATGCAAATACAAAGAGCAACATCCAACCAAGAAGCAGCCATTCTCTGTTTTCTTTGAATGATAATAATTATAATTATTATATATTGTGTGATTGCTGTGAGTATTTTTGCTCTATTTCCAGGTCTATATCAGCCAGATTCTTGTTGCATCGGCGCTCGGATCGGTGGTCGACGCCGTCGGCAGCGTGCGCGTCATTCCCATCGTGGCCTCTGTAGGCTCTTTCCTCGGCTTCCTTACTGCCTGTTTCCTCGTCATTTATCCAGATGTGGATCCCGACAGCTCGGAGCAGGAACAGAATTTGGTGGATTTACCCGGAGTGGAAGACGAGACCGGAGAAAGGACCAGTGACCAGACGCTGGCCTTGCTGAACCTCGCAGACAGGGATAGCTTGAAGAGGACAGAGAATCAATCCGTTGTCTGAGAATTAAACATTGGTTTGTGGACTACGTCTTGAAGCCTCAAGTTTGGCAGTTTGCCGTCATCCTCTTTTACAACTGGACCTAACCAACGAGGGATGGATCTGACTCTGCGCACACCAATGTGGTACCTAAAACATACCACACTTTGTCTTAAATATTCCTCTAAAGGAGACCAGAATTTTAAAAAATAGCATCATGCCATATTCAAACAGTGTTGAAAGAAGGGATTGAGACTATAAACTCATTAGAAAAACTGAGGTACCAAATCAAATGAGAAGCAGGAGCATTTTCTCATACATTTCTATACAATCAGGCTTATTTTTACAACCTGAGGAGTCGCCCCCTGCTGGCTGTTTGAAAGAATGCAGGTTAAAGGCACTTCTACAGTGGCTTCACTTTACAGACTCTACATCGATAATTTAAATACAATCCGTGTCATTACACACAAAAGCTAGTAAGCTGAAGCACAAACTTACAAATCTGTGGCAGTTCTAAAGGAGCAAAGATGACAAAAGAGGGAAAACATGTCAAAAAGTCAATTTTGGGCTCCTCTACTTATTGTTTTGCTACCTCATCTCTCATAAAAATGCACGTTAAGGTGCTTCTATAGCTAGAATTGAGAAATTAAAACACAAAAACTCACATGACAGTGAACAGACTGAAGAAAAAAACTGAGAATGCTTAAGTCGAATGAAGGTATTCACTGGTAGAGGACACAGAAGTTCCAAAAATTCAGAGGGCTGCTTTGAGCTGAAACTCTAAAAACACAAACAGCACTTATACATGTTAAAATAAAGTCGGGATATAACCCGTGTGTAGAGGCAGAAGCAGCCTTCCTCGGGGTTTAATCCAGAGTGTACAGAGTTCTGCTTCAGTGGATGCAGGACGATCGCAAACACCTGAGCAGGAAGCGAATAAACTTTCACATTAAAAAAGTTCAGTATGATCACTGGGCAGCTCAATAGAGTTAAAAAAAAAAAAAGTAGAAAGATTGTAATATTAATAGATTATATAGAATATTTAACTATTTCCAACATCAGCACCAGGCCTCAACTGACTAAAAGAAAGACTGAAATCAATTTGTTATTTTAGTGTTGGGTGTCTCAGAGTTTCTTTCTGCAATAGTAATTTCAGACAATCACTGCCCCAAATATTCTTTTACAACTTTTCTAAGCCTTCATCCATAAGGCTGCGTATAGAGTATATAAGCAATTTAGTCCAACTACTGACACAAACATAGCCTTTATTTAAACATAAACAGCACTTTCCTGTTGCACCGATGCGGCAGAATAATGTACTATGTGACATTTTAGCTGCTTCGTAATGGCTTAATGGACGATCATTATGCTGTAGAAGTGTTCCCTCTGCATTACCTGTAGGCTGAATACAGGTGTAAATATTTGTACCGGTTTCTTGATGGATTGCCTTGACATTATATTTTTATATTTTAAAAGCCAGGAAATTGCTACAAGTGCAGGTAAAGCCTCAAAACAGCTTTTACAATGTTGAGACCTGTTGCATAACAAGCTGGCGTGCAGTTAGAAGTGCCTTTTTGTGATTTTTGCCTGGACAGAATTAGTGCAATTGTGAATGCCAAATTCTGCTTTTATGCTACACACACAAAAAAAACCAAATTTTTATCATAATGTAGGTAAGAAATCAAACCAGCACGGTACATGGTGTTGATTTTATTCAAATTATGTCTTACGAAGGCGTATTTAACATTACAAACGGTGTGAATTTACACGATAAACTACGGTTCTCAAATTTGAACTCCGGGTGTTTTGGATGTCAGTAACATTGTGCTGTATGTTGTTTTGAATTTTGCATTTAAAATACAGTGAATAAGAGATTTTGTAAATCATAACACATTTGTTTTATTCATTTTTTTAATTTAAATGATCAAATAGCAGTGCCTCATCACTGGTAAAGGGATTTGTTTTGTACTTTATACTGACACCAGAATGACCCTGTTGCACATATACTTTATTTTGCCGTTGTGATCATTTGTCAGCTGGAAATCTTCGCCCAGTTGTGCGCAAAGAACAAGCAAGACGATGAACAGCTTCCGCCAGATTTCAGTTTAACTCAGGATTACGAAGGCAAAGAGTCAGCTGAGAATTATTGTCAAAACTGAGCGACATG